ACAGAACGAATTAACATCGTCTTGCGAGGCATCACTGTATATACAAGATGTTTTATAGGTGGCATATGACTCCAGAAAAATTGTCAAAGATTTATACACAGGTGCCAAATGTTTGTTGGAAGTGTGAAGCACATGAGGGAATCTTTTACCATATGTGGTGCACTTGCAGAGTAACAGAACAATATTGGATAGCAGTACATACTTTGAAACAAAAAATATTGCTTTGTAAGGTTTCACTAACCCCAGAACTGTTTCTACTGAGTATTATACCAGACCATATAGATAAGACAAAGTACTACTTAGTTTTATATATATAGTCACTGCAGCAAGAATTCTTTATGCCACAAATTGGAAGAAATCGGAGATACCGAAACAAGAGGAACTTATTGAGAGGATACAGGAAGCAGCAGAAATGAATATTTTATCAGAAGTGTTGAAAGACTGTCCAATACAAAAGGCAACTGAACATTGGGATTTATTATATAAATGGCTTGAATCACCAGATAGAGCTTGAATAACATAGATTTAAACTAGGATGTTAAGTTAAAACCTGGAGGGCAATCAAATAGTAGAAAAGCGGAAAAGCAAATTGATATTGCAACATGAATAGATTGGATGTCAGTACATTTTGTCTTTCTCCTCCCCCTCCTTCTCTCCCATATCCCCCTTTACCCTCTTTATCCCTTACCTTATCCCAAGTTATTAATTAAAAAAAAAGAGAAAAAAAGCAAGAACAGTATCACTGCCTGGCTAGTGCTGGGAATCTTTCTTACTGCTACGTGTACTGGCCAACTGGTGTCATTGTCTTGCTTGGGAGGCAGCTCCAGTGGCTCCATTTTCACTGATGTTGAAAGGGGCAAGGTGCTGCCCTAATCCTGGCATTGCCAACAATGGCAGGAAGCCTCCCACCACTAGTGGGGCAGTGTTCCACACAACCTGCTTTAATGTGAGGACATGCATTAAAACAGGATCTTAAAATCGTAGACTAATTGAGTTGGAAGAGGCCTAGGAGGCCATTGAGTCCAACCCCTTGCTCAGTGCAGGAGTCCAAGTCAAAGCAGATCTGACAGATGGTTGTCTAATTTTTTCTTGAATGGCTCTAGCACTGGAACATTAATCACCTCCTGCGGTAATAGGTTCCATTGTTGTACTACTCTAACGGTTAGGAAGTTTTTTTTCTGATATTCAACCAAAATCTGGCTTCCTATAACTTCAGCATATTATTAAGTGCCTTGCATTCTGGGATGATCAAGAACAGATTGTGCCCCCCCTGATAATTTCTTAAGTATTTGAGAAGTGCTATTACATCTCCCCTCAGTCTTTTTTTCCTCAGGTCCTCATGGACCCAAATAACTACAAAGAAAAGAGGCAGATATAAAGAGTTAGCAAAATTGATTTTACCTTTTAAAAAATCTCACTGTCATGGTTGAAGTGAGCTTCCCCCCCTCCCCCAGCTTGGATTGGGAGAAGAAGAGGACAGAGGAGAAAAAGGGAGAAGGGAGAGAAAACTACTTTGGTATGAAAGGAGATCAATTTAAGATAAAAGTCTCACTCCCATGACTATCTGAAATATTGATATCAATATGAAAGGAGATCAATTTAAAAGTCTCACTCCCGTGACAATCTGAAATATTGATATCAAATCCTATTTCCTTCAAAGCATTATATGTCCTTTAAATCTTTATTGTTGTGACTTGGTGACTGTGAGAACTTTCTACCTTGAGGGAAGTGCCATCCCCCCTCTTGGATCTGATATGTAAATAAGATTGAGAAAGAAAAAGTAAGGATACAGTGACACCTGCTGAAAGAAGACTTAAACAGTATCCCTTTTACTTATTTACTTAATTTAGGAAGGAACAAAGAAAAATTAATATGTCGACAAAAGGTGGAAAAGAGAGAAGTCAAAGAGGCTCACTGGCAGGAGAACAGAATCTCAGTGGGTTATTGGGGCAAGAGTCATTAAAGGACTGGCAACAAAGTATTCATGAGATGCTATCTACATCACTAAAGCAATTACAAGGAGGGGTGGCTCATATTAATTAATTAATTAATTAATTAATTAAATAATGGCCAAACTCCTCCAGGTTCTTTGCAGTATGGCAAGCAAAGGTGAAGAATGAACAGGAAACATAGTTCACGCTCATGATTTCTAACTTGATTTGCCACATATCTGACCATCATCTTGTACTCATCTGAGCAGATTTTAAAAGTTTCTTTGTACTCCCCACTATAAAATATATACCGCCTGCCATTTTTTCCTATTATTTTATAGGAATCCATGTTTATTCCTACCCTCCTAGCCCAACAGCATGAATTTAGGATGAAACAATTAGAAAGGGGAACGGCCATGAGGATAAAAGAGATGGAAAGAAGCTAATGGTGAAGAAACAGTTCCAAATCAACCAAGTACATCTGCCCAAAAATGATATTAGCATATCAAATCAAGATATTGGAGATGATAGATCATAACATCCTACAAATACTGTACTTCAAATGTGAAGCACCATCATGTGGTTTCCTGTCAGAAAAAATAATGTCCTTTTGGTCAAA